ACGACCGCGAGAGAGCCTCTGACAAACAGGAGAAAAACACTGAGGTGAGAGGAGTTACACAAACACCGAGCACTACACTGAGCTGAAGGACGGATCAAATCTAAGCAGGAAATATAATCAGACATCATAGACATTACAGTTGTGTGTGTCCGTGTCAGCTGAATGATCAGCAGCCTCCTCTCTGACACCTAGTGGACAGACTGAGCGACTGCATGCTGTGACTGTCAGTCAGTCTGTCCTTCATCTGCTGCGAGCGATGCAGTGTGAGAGAACTGAATGGACAGATATAAGGCTCTCAGAGGGGGTTATTTCTACACACAGAAAAGATCCTGCGGATACAGACACTTGATTTGTATTTTAACCCTGTATCATATGTGACCCTGGAGCACAAAAGCAGTGTTAAGTCGCTGGGGGATATTTGTAGCAATAGCCAACAATACATTGTATGGGTCACAATTATACATTTCTCTTTTATGACAAAAATCATTAGGATATTACGTAAAGATCATGTTCCATGAAGATAGTTTGTTAATTTCCTACCGTAAATATATCAAAACTTAATGTTTGATTAGTAATATGCATTGCTAAGGACTTCATTTGAACAACTTTAAAGATGATTTTCTCAATATTTAGATTTTTTTTTGCACCCTCAGATTCCAGATTTTCAAATAGTTGTATCTCGGCCAAATATTGTCCTATCCTAACAAACCATACATCAATGGAAAGCTTTCAGATGATGCATGCATCTCAATTTTGAAAAATGGACCCTTATGACTGATTTTGTGGTCCAGTTTGATATGCAAGTTTAAATAATGAGCAATATGATTAAAACGTGACTGTTAAACCTGTTTCACACAATCTACTCCATCAGATCTTGTGATCAAGTAAACGTCAGAATAACTGCAGTCATATTTCCAGATGAACACTTACTGGACTGAAGCAGCTTTGCAGCTTTTGATTTTCCGTGAAATCGTGTTCAAATGTGAGTATTAAATATTGATGAACTTTGTTTGTTAATCTCTCGCTCATCATTGCATTATATTTTTTGATAATAAAACTAAATGCATCAGCTTACTAAGACATATTTTTGGGAGATATGGAGTGATGACTAATATTTGTATACATTTTATGTAAGTATCTGCTGTACTTTTATAAAGATCTCATTGATTTACATTACAAGCAATCAGAATTTCATCACTTTTTGTCCATATAAATATCAGCATCTGCAACAAATTGC